ACTCGCACCGGAATTCCATTCCCACGATAAAACCTTCTTAGTTAGAAGGATAAGATTCTAATTACAATCCTAAATTTTGTCTGTTCTCTTCCTAATTCAAAGACACTGTCTTTTCCTTTACAAGCCTTGCCTGCATTAGTATCCATAGCAACTGCACAACTACATGTCCTCACACATAGTTACCCTTTACCCCAATTTGATTATCAATAAAAATCAGTGGTTTGAACTGATCTGGGTCTTTGCTGGTTGCTCAGCACTGGCTGTCCTGGCCCCCCACTTTTTCCTTTAATTCTGTCTTTGAGTCTTTCTTCAGGCCTGCGTTGGACACTGGGTGAGAGACTGGAATGTACTGCAGAGGCCTCCAGAAAGAATGAGGTTGGTAAATGGGAAGCTAAGGGTTTTTTTTTTTTTACTGTATTTTCGATCTAACTTATTCTCACCCTGCCTGATGCTTGTCTTCATTAGTGTTTTCTTGCTGTGTGTTCATGATTCTTATGAATAATTGACAATTTGATTGGATTGAGAGACCCTGGAGAAGTGATTAGATCATGGGGGTGCTATCCTTATCAGTGCATCAATCCAATAGTGTTCATGACTGAATTTTCACTAGAAGGTGGGGCCAAGTTGGAAGTAGGGCTCAGGGGGCCCTGGAGGGTATAAGTCTCACTGGTGCTTTGATCCTGTGATCTGTTTCATGACGTAAGCAGTCTCCTCCACCATGCCTACTGCCATGTTGCTTTTGCTTTGGAACCAAACAGCCATGGACTGAGACATCTGAAACTGTGAAGCAAAGCTAATCCTCTCCTGCTTTACATTGCAAGCATTGGGTGTTCTTCACAATGACCAGAAAGCTTATTAATACAGATAACTGGGTACAATACAAGTGGCATGGCTGCTTTATTTTACAGAACATGTAATTCTGAAGCACCTGGAAGTGGGTTATAGAAGGTTTTTGTCACAGTGTGTGATCACAGTGGTGTAAAGGATGTAAAGATTACTGGGGGATGAGACTTTAGTTTAGTTCAGTTGCTGAGAAGCCCAGAGAGGCTGCTTTTTCAGCATAAGAGAATTTCAGGGAAACAGCATTGACTGAGATCTCTGCCGTTATTTATTTGTAACTCAAGGACATGACAACAAAGGTATAGAAGAAAAACACTTGCAACATTTTTGTATAGACTTTTTGATCAGTGGACAGGGAAGGAATGGGGTGATTTGTTTCATGACACATGCTGAGCTAGTTTAAGCAATCTTACCACGGCAGGGGTAACACCACAGCCAGAGCAAACATCTCTGAGAATAACTTATTGTGGATTCTAATGACTGTTGTTCTGTAGTTCTATCCTAACCTTAACCATGCATTGCAGGGGTCTGGGAACTATTGTTCCCATGTACCCTTCATCTTTACTTTCATTTCAAGTACTACTCCAGCCAGTTTCCCCACAAGGTTTGGAAAAATTTGGAGAAGTAGGCTAGAGGAAGCTTAGAAGTTTATAAGCAGTGATTCTGACGAGTGATTCTGTTCTGAGTATGGAAGACCAGAATGCTAATAGGATCAGGCTTCTGAGGTTTCAGTTAGGTACAAAAACTCTGTATTAGAAATGATACTAGAGATCATGAGTGTTGCACTATGGCAAAAACTTTATTTACATTTTGCCCATGTCCCAAGACTTCACAGGAAGCTTAATTTAAAGGTAGCACACTAATTGCTCTGGCAGAGGAAATGACCAGGCAGCCCAATATTCAGGTTGTGGCATGGTACTGCTGACTGCTTTAACCAGGTTTATAGCGAAAAGTTGAAACAAAGCGTAGATTAGAAAGATTTGAAAAACTTAAATTTTGACTCAAAATCTGGTATGCTTAAAGTTGGAACCAAGGAGGCATAGTTGTTGAGATTAGCACAATTAAAATACTCCAAGTACTTTGAATTGGGACAACAACAAAAATGCCTCAAGCGGGAGAAGCAAAAGATGAGGACTTCAGCTGTACTTGAGCAAGAGCTTGGCAGATTAGGTTATAGTATAAAACTTGTGGCCAGCTATGAATTTTCAGTCACACTGACTATGTGATCCTGAGTTGGAAACACTCCAAGCCGCCACAGGAAGGAAGCATGTGGTTTACTAAAAAAAAGAACTTTAATCTAGGCCCTAGATATCTGTCATATATAAAATTAACTGAAAATTCCAAATCACATGTGGAAATCAAAGCATACTTAGGTGAACTAACAAACAATGCAATAAAATATAATACATTCAGGTAAGAAAAGGAGCAAATACAGAATAAAACTTGCATTTCTTTGAAGTATGTAAAGGGGTTAAAATTGAAAGTGGAAAATGCAGAGCATTGATATGGAAAACACCAGACATATCTGACAAAAGAAATGAACACAAACTTCATTCTTCCCTGGACATTTGAGAAGAAAGCAAAAATGATGAAGCTTTATTTAGGAGGGGAAACTGCAAGATAAGGCAGGGAGGACAAAGTGAAGGTGGGAAGAGTAAAAATACTGTAGAAGAAATCAGAATAACCATGTGCTACAATGTCTTAGTACACAGTGAGCAGCGTAAAGTCACAGCTAATCCCTTGGTAAGCGTCTCTCAGCCCAGAGAAGTGGGAAAGCTGCAGAGAACCTAAGCAGAGCGGTCACCTCTGGGAGACTCAGCACCACCCTGGAGCCTTGTATATCAGCCTGGATTCTGCAGCTGCTCCAGTGCCGAGGTCCTCCTGGAGTTTGGGGCTGCAGGGTTTAGTGGTCCCAGGCAGACCTGGAGGGGAGTACACACACCCTGCCAGGTGCCTGATTCCGGGAAGGCTGAGCTTGGCTGACCTTTGGCCTTTGCTGACAACCTGAAGCCTGGGACCAAGTGGCCTGGATGGACACTGGGGTGGTCTGGAGTACAGAGTTTGTGCTGCAGCTGGGGCCACTGCACCCTGCCTAGGGCTGGAGTCTGCGTGCACGTGTGAGATGGAGATGGGGTCCACGGCAGTCAGCTCAGTGCCGAGGCAGGCCTGAAGCCTTGGGCCAGGGCACTGATTAGCTGCTGTTTTGGGCCACACTCCTGAGCAAGTGTGGCCAACCTGCAGCCCACAGAACCCCCATCCCTTTAATACTCTTTGAGCAGCAAATGAATGAGTATTAAAAAGGAACTTTTGTTACTTAGGTGTGGGAACTCTATGACATGTGTTATATGTGGCCCAAGACTGCCCCTCTTCACTCACTGCAGCCCGGCCATGCCATAGGGGGCCATGCCTGGCCAAGGCCGGGTCTGTGAGTGTTGAGCCTGTGGTTCCTGAGGCTGCTATCACCAGCTTGGAGCTGACTTGGCCTGGGCTCATCAAGTCAGCACGGGGCAAATCAGTGCTGGATCCATTGATCCTGTCTTTTCTAGTCACTACATTTCTGAATTTTTTTGTGTTAACAACTCTTCCATGTAGAAAGAAGCACATTTGTAATTCTTTCCAGGTACAATAACTTTTTAAAGAATTATTTTAGTTGAAGGTTTCAGGTCTACTGTTGAATAAAAGGTGCCATAAACTTATTTATGCTTCATTCCATTTTTCATGGAAAGATTTAATTCTTTGCCTCATCTTATGAAGTTTACTGTAATTTTTTAGCATAACTTTCTCAGATTAAAGGAGTTCTTTTTTCCTAACATTTAGAAAAATCAATGGAAGTTTCATTTTAGTTATTTTGGCTTCAATTGGAACACTTTGAGGTTGGCAATGGTGATTTTTATGTCCGCTACAAGAAATTGAAAAATGTAGTAATTGATCCGAATAATTAGCAAAAATTTGTTGATAATAGTAGTTAGAATTTTATAATTTTTCCGTCATAACATAAAGGATATAATAAGGATTTGAGGAAAAGAAGTACATAATGTTGCACACAATTCACACAAGGACTTAGTTTCAATCTCAATCACCAAAAACGTTTGAAAGTTATATGGTGCTAAAATTTCACAGCCTAATCTTAAAATGTCCTTAAAAAGGACTTAAAATGTGAAGTTCTTTAAGCAATATAATGTCTGTGACTGTGATAGAAACAATTTAACTGCTCCTCTGTTCAGGCTTCTGTCCACCCTCTGTCTTACAAAATGTGTAAATGATTTTTTGGAGACATTTGGAAATGGACAAGCAGAGACAATTTAGAAGTCTGCACTGTCCCTTCAATAAGAGCCCAAAGTGTCCTGTCATCCGGCGATGTGTGATGAGATAAAATTATTTCAAAAATAAGCCAGGTGTGAGAGTTTCCTGTTAACTTAAAGTGTCATATTGATAAGAAATCTTCTTTTTCTGCTCCTGACTCACTCTGAGTCTCACAGGGGAGGCTATGAAGGTCGTGGATATTATTTGCTCTTGATCTGAATTTTTGTTACTGAATTTGGCCTTGCTCTACTCATCTGTGGAAGGCCTTCTTAGGTGGTGAGCAGGGCTCCCCACTGAAGAGTGTGTGACTTTTCCCAGCAGGAGGTAGGTGTCTGTCCTCCCTGTCTCTGTGCTGGTCCAGCTCAGTCACTGAGGGTCGGCAAAGACTGCGTGTGATGTAATTGAGTACAGTTTATGTAGAATAGAATCAAAGTAGAACATTGATTTGCTTAAATAATTCCAGGGAAGATCCTGAGACAAGAATTACATTGGTTGATGTCTCAAAGTATTCTGATTGTTGCCTGTTGAGAACTACTCAGGTGCATCCATGCACATTTCAGTTTGTTAATCAATGGAATTTAAAATGAAACCCATACGCATGTTGAAAATGTCCTGTTACTTTTGGATATTAAAATCAGTATGCTGTAGTCTCTGAATAATAATACTAATTTATATGTAGCCCACACATTATAGACTATTAAAAATTTCATTGAATAATGAAGGCCAGAGATAATTCCTCAGATATTTACTTAGATTATTCAATAGTAGTTTATTTTCAATAAATGTATACTTACTATTGGTTAACTTCTGAGGCACAATAATCACAGCATCGTCCCTGGCCTCACTCAGCTGCTGAGATGAGTGACCGAAGAGCGATCTACTCAGAACTGCATCCAGACAAAGTCCTAAAGAAGCCTCCAAGAGGACTTTCGAGGCCTGAAACTTCTATTTCAATAAATGACCGGGAGAAAATCGACCCACAGTTAAATGTATAACTCCACGGTGCTTCACAGAAGCATCCAGGGAGCGGCAGTGACCACAACTGGGAAGGTAAAACGCTTAATGAGCCTTGACATCCCTGGTCTGAGGTGCTAAGTTGGGGCACCGAGGTGTGGCTAAAAAGTGAGGCAAAAGCTCACTTCCTTTTCCTCTGTGAGGACAGGCACTATGACTTGGGCTGTTATTCTTTAAATGCAAATGTAATTTTATTTGTGGAAATTTCTTGTCGTTGGCTGAAGAGTCATGGAGCATTGTGCTCACCGAAAATGCAGAGGTAAAGCTTCCAGGTGAGGGAGCAGGTCTGGGACCCAGGTGTACCTGTGTGGGTTCCTGTCCTGTGGGCTCCCTTGTGTGTCGACCTTCTCAATAGCTGTCTCCACCCTGCTTCGTCATCCGTGCCCCGTTGGTCCTCGCAGATTTCCCATCGCCTCCAGAGAAGATCTTCACAGCGCTCCTGGGAATCATCCTCCTCATCTCTAAAGCCTCCGTGCTGGCAGCCATGGTTGCTGTTTTGCTCTGTATGTATATTTTTGAGACTATAAAGAGACGTTCTGCATGCATGATAGAAAATGCCTTTGAACATTTCAAATTATCAGCGAAAAGAGCTCTCATTTTAATGCATATATCTGGATGAGATGTGGAATTGTTACTCTGAATTTTTCAAAAATATAAAAACTGAAAGATTTTTAGCTTATACTTTAAAAAACTGCATATGTATATCCTAATTGCGTAATCAAATATAAGCTTTAGGAGGCTGAAAAATCTCATTAAGTAATGCAAATTAATTTTTGAAAGTTGTAACATAAAATATTATACTGTGACAGACAGTGACTTTGGAGATTTAGGCATTTAATGAAATACTCTTCCCAAAATCTTTTATTACTTTATCAATTTTTCTTGGTAAAATCAATTTCATTCTACATTATTCTAATTCTAAATAAGATAAATTTAAATGAAACTAAAATTTATCTATTTAGAAATTAACTTCATAAGAATTTCTTTAAAATTTCCTTCTGTAGTCATGTAGAAGAAAACAATTCATTAAAACAATTCATTAAAATCTGAAAAGATGCATAATGATTTTCAAAGATCTGATGTTTGTGCAGACTATATTTTCTTTCTAGTAGAAGTCATTCAAAATGATACTAATTTCCTTCAGTGAAAGCAAACTAAAAACATGAGCTTCTGATGCTCATAAATGAAGCAGGAGGACATTCTTTTCCAGTGAATAACATTAAGAAATACCCAGTTGAAATTACAATATTTGTGCCAATTTTATCAAATTTCCTACTGGTATAATTTGAGAGCTCAATGCATTATTCTAGAGAAGAGGTTTTACTCAGGATTTTAAAGACGCTTGCAGGGTGAGTTTTTGTTAAATTGTGAACACATGAATTAAGGGACAAAAGGGTAATCCTTTCCTGAGCTGGTCCGTATGAGAAAATGTTTTATATGTGCAGCCAGTGGGAGTGTATAGGTTTGTATATACTGAGGTGCAATCATAAAATATGGTGAATGTTTAAATAAAAATTGTATTGTAGAAAAAGACATGCTACCATTAATCCTCCTCAAACACTCACCCTTATTTCAAGCAGACTTATTCTGCCATTCTTCCTACTTTCTGAAACAATTCTACGAGTCCTCTTTCATGTCTTTTCTGGCTTCACTGATGCCCAGAATCGATTCAAAATATTTATGACAATTGCTGTTAAATAAAAACATTATGTGTGTTCTTATTGTGCTTACTTACTGGATATGGCACCAAGCAACTTCTAGTTCTTTCCCAAAGTCAAAATCATCATGAAAGGTTAAATTTTGAAGCAAGTCAGGAAATCCAGGCAGTCATGATAGTGCAATTAAAGACACTCATGAAAGAGAACTTTCAAGGGGAAATATTCTGAGGAGGATTAATGACTGTGTAGCTTTTATTGCAATAACTCCTGATATAGTTTGGCCACATCTTGTATGTTTATATTATGCAAATATGTAAATTCATTTTCATGTTTAAAAATTCACATGGCTTCAGGATAGAAATCCATAATCTTTCTTCAACATATCATTGTGACCATTGTCCAAGGGAGTGGTTTACATATTCCAACAGTTGTTATTCTGTTAGTATGGGAAAAAAGAGTTGGAAGGAGATTTTGCTGCCCTAAGCTTATAAGAATCTTAGCTGCTTAATATAGACTATGAGGAGAAAATGATAAGATTTTAAGTGTTTCATTCTGATTAATCTTTTTTCTAATCATTATATATATAATTAGATATAGAATTCATACATAGTTTTTTTTATTTATAAGTCTATATTATTTCATTGTTTACAATATTTTATTTGTACATTCCTAATGCACATTTTATTATTTACAGTTCTTGGTTTTGATGAAAAGTCATGCCTACCTAAGAGATTATTTTTCTGAAATAAACTTTCCTATTCAATTTTATCATACATAAAAAACCTAAACATCTCATAATTCTTAGGTTGTTCACAAAGTAAGGGGGCAGATAGAATTCAAGTCAGATCACCAAATAGAAGAAGTTCACAGTGCCTAGCCGCCCTGGCCCTGTGTAGGATCACATCAGTTCTTATTCCTCCCTCAATCATGATCCTCATTTGCTATTATCAATCAGATTCACCTGCTGTTGAACTTTTTGTGAATGGAATCAAGCCAGAGGCATTTTTCTGTCTCCTTTCACCAACCTGTGATTTGGGGGCCATTTCTGGGAACTCTGTGTACTTAGGCTTCTCTGTGTACTTCTGTGGATGACAGTTCTAGAATTGGTGACAAAGACTGAATGAAGTCCTTCTTTTCCATCTGAGTAACAGCATTAGACACTGATTGTGTAGATATTAACCTCACTCCATCCATTATTTCCTGCTTGTGCTCCGGGTCTGTCGCTAATGGCTCTGGACCTTGCTAGAGATCTTTTTCCCTGGGTGTATCACAGTCTCCTTTTTATTTTACTTATCTTTTCCATGACTGTGAGGCTGTGATGAGTGGTCTCATGCTATCTCATACATGTCACATTCCTTCTGAAAGAGAATGTAGAGATATTCTAGTCAGGCCATTTCGAATCTGAGAGAAATGATGATTTTCTCTTAATTTTTTTTTACATATATAGTGAAGAAGTGGTTTAGAAAAAAATGAATCTGCACATGGATTTTACATGATTTTGAATTTAAAATTTATCATTTATTTATTTATTTATTTATTTTTGGTACCAGGGATTCAACTTGCCTTGTGTCCTTGAGAGGCAGGCAGTGGAACCACTGAGCTAAATCCATGGGCCTTTTATTTGAAATCTTACATATTTTAGAGAAAAATCACCTGTAGTCTACAATAGATAAAATCACCTATTTGGTTATTACTCTCTTTTCTCTGTGGATATTTCATCCACTCCCGTAATACTTATGCCATGCCTTCATGATTTCTAGTCCTGATTTTCATGCTCAGATCTGTTTTGAAGTGTTAACTGACTGATTTTTATTTTGGTATTTATTTGTAAATGATGCACTAACTTTTATAAACTAAACTGAAAGGTATACTATCATAATTTTACTCAAAGGTCTTATTTTTTTATTTTACACTTAAGTTTTTAGCAATGAGAAAGAAATGAGATATTTCTATTTCTATGGTCAGATCATGGAGGTGTTACTTTCTAAATGTCCAATTACTGATTAAAGTAATGACATAAGTTAATTGTTTTCATGAGCCTTTTTCTTTTGTCCTAAATTTCAATATTTATTTAATATACTTTTTGTATCATGACTATGCTATTAATTTTAGTTGTTCAGTGTACTCAAGAAAAGCAACAACAGCAAGAAATTCTAGCAAAGCTTAGACAAGAGTTCAACATTACACAAAGTGACAGTGTTTTAAAGGAACTTTTGACAAATAAAACTTTAGAATATGACATTCTTAAAAATAAAACACACTGGAAAAAATGGAGCTGGAATCACTTTCAAAGAACAAATGTCATAAGAAAAATAAGATCTTTTCAAAACTTTTGCAAAATTCAGGTATGTATGGTAGAAAGTCTTAATAAAAGGTTGCATTATTTTTTTCTTGTACACAAGGTTTGAAGTCTAATAAACAGACTATTATACTATTGATCCCTGGATTTAGAGGAGAACTTTTCATTTTTACCTTGTAGATATGAACTAGATATGTGGTTTGCTTCTAGGGTAGATGCCCTAGAAGCCATATTTGGAGTAGTAGAGCCTTATAGTTAGTTAACCCAAATCAATGGCTGCTGTGCTATTACTCCAGCTCCAGAAGGTGAAATCATATACCATCTTCCCTGTAAATGTAGATCATTTTGTTCTTGTGGGCAAATTAGAGAATTCTATTTGTTGCAGACACAGAACATGTATGTTACCAGTCAAAATATATTGCCTTTAACATGGGCTCAAGAGTTTTCATTTAAATGCTGTTTTAAAAGTAACTAAGTAACTGTGCTTTCATTCTGCTTTGAGTTTAGATGATATATAAATATATATATGATATATATATGATATATATATATGACATATATATATATATATGATATATATATCCGTATAGTACATCTGCAAGGTTAACTATAGTGTTGATGTTTGTGCAACTGTGTGTGATGATATCTGTGGGGGACGGCCTTATTGATTGTGTCCAAAGCAGGCTGTATGCAGTGCAGGCTATAAAGAGTTAACCCCTCAATTGGCTCATTTTAAGAAGTGAGAGACAGAAGCTTACATGACTCATAAAAGCACCTCATAAGCATCATGGTAGCATGCAGGTTAGCATGACCTTCCCACTAATGGCCACAGCAGAGACCAGATAAATGGCCTGTGAAGCTGAGGGGCCCAATATGAGTTAGCATAGTAGCTGAGGTTGGAGTAACTTGCAGCCAAATTTCATCCCACAACTAAAACCTTCTTAACTAGAAGGACAAGGTTCTAATTACAACCCTATATTTTGTCTATTCTGTTCCTAATTTGAGAATGCTTTGCCTTTTCTTTTAAAAGCCTTGCATGCATTAGTATCCATAGCAACTGCACAACTGCTAGTCCTCAGACATAGTTCCCCTTTACCCCAATTTGATTACCAATAAATATCAGTGGCTTGGACTGAACAGGGCCTTTGCTGGTTGCTCAGCACTGGCCATTATGGCTCCCCATTTCTCTGTGTTTTTAATTCTGTCTTTGAGTATTTCTTCAACCCTGCATAGTACACTGGGCAGGAGACCGGAACCTACTGCAGAGATTACCAGTAGATACCATTAAAAACACTGAGAGAGAGTCGGGGATTTAGCTCAGTGGTTTTGCTGCCTGCTGCGCAAGCACAAGGACCCGAGTTCGATCCCTGGTACCAAAAAAACAAAACAAAAACAAAACAAAACAAAAAAACAAAAAACACCTGAGAGATAAAATGTTAAATTTCATGCATTAAACTTTTCTTGCATAATGGCCTGGTTATCTTGAATTGATCTTATTAATCAAAAATTATTAAATATTTCTTTAAGAAACAGTATTTACCATGCTATTTAGTCTCACTTTGGTATGGCAGTAGAAATTTATTGTCTCTGTTAATAAAAGGTCAATAACATTTAAAAATTTGATACATTATAAAATACATAGAATTTAAATTCCAGACATTTTCTTCTACTTAGAGAACATTCCAGATTTTTAAAAAATAATTTAATTATTGTAGAACAACTTTATTGAAGTATTATTGCTACAAAAAATCTGCACATATTTAATATATTCTGTTTGATAAGTTTGGACAAATACATGTACCCATGAAATCATTACCGCAATTAGGCTAATAGACATATCTGTCACCTTCAAAAGTTTTTTCATGTCTCATGTCTCTTGTAGTGAGAACATTTAACCTGAATGAACCCTCTTAAAGTTTTAAGCACAGAATGCAGTATCGTAAACTTCAGGCACTGTTATCTAGAGCAGATCACTAGAATTTATTCATCTTGCACTACTGAGGATTTAGACATGGAGCAACATTTCCTTATTTACCCTCTGACCTACATGGGGCAACCACCATTTCAGTCTCTGCTTCTATGAGTTTCACTGTGGGGGATCAGCCATTATATGTATAGACTGGTGAGGGGCCAGGTTACAGCCCCCACAGCTCTAGGGTGGGCCTTAACTTGTCTCAAAAACAGAGAAGTTGTGCAAAAGACCCTAGAGTTCCTGGCTGTGTGAGAAAGCCCTGATCATAGCACTCCTCAGACAAGATAATGCCTACTGGGAACAATAAAAAATGCAGGCAACCTGATGAGGGGAAGGACTTTAACTTGTTCCCTTTGAGATGCTAAACTTGGTCCCTATCTTGCTTTCCTAAACTTACTGCAGTCTCTGTTCCTCAAAGAGTACACCACACCTCCCCTCTGCTCCATTCTGATGAATAAAAGTGGATCCACTGTGGAGTTTGTGGAAGTCAGTCCACTGGAGTCAGATTCCTCCTGCTCCCCACTTGAACATTGACTACTGTTTCTGTCTCTTTTTTTTATTCCCCATCGTCCTCCCTCAGGTATTTGGGAGTCTGATCAGCTCCCGACATTTCACTATTTAGATACGTCATATATGTGGACTCCTAAAGAGGTTCTTTCTTTCTAATGATTGGTGTATTTCACTGAGCACAACATCCTCCAAGTGCATACATGTTGTCTCATATGGCACAATTTACTTCTTTTTAGAGGCTAAATAATACTCTGTGTATGTGTATAAATTTTATGTATCCTTTCATCCCTTATATATATTTAGGTTGTTTCCATACCTTGCCTATTACAAATACTGCTACATTGGATATGGGAGTGGAGATGTATGTTGGCACTCCAGAATCTTGATGAACTTTGTATTATCATTACTGAGCTATGAGATTTTTATTTAGTTGTAGAAGGCTGATAAATACCTTTCTCTGATTTGCAAAATACTAGATAACAAGAAGTTTAATGATTCTTATATATTGTAGGTAAAATTTGTGGAGGCCACTTGACCTGTTATGGAGTAAAATGTTATTATTTTATCAAGGAGAGTAAAGACTGGAACGGCTGTAAACTGACTTGTCAAGATTACGGATTGTCCCCTGTGAAGATAGATGATAGAGATGAACTGGTAATACAAACTCTTACATTCACTTTTATCCTCCTAGACTTTTCCTCTCATTCTTGGGCCTAAGACAACGGGGACCTTCAGCTACGCTTTGTGTTGTGTCAGTTACATGGGCCAAACTTGTAAGTTAGGAGCCTCCCAGGAGACGCCTGCCTGCTGAGAAGCCTTGGTCCTGCTACTTACTAAGTGCTCAAACGTGTGACCTACTATGGTGGCCACTACTGTGCAGGAAGCAATGTGGGTCTCTGCCTTCATCTCCCTTTCCAAGGTGTCTGCAGTGGAGCCTCCCAGAGCAGTGCTCTTTCCCTGCATGAAACTGAGTCCTTTGGTGAACTGGATCTGACAGTTATTTGTCCCATAGAGTGGCAACCAAAAACCAGGGGCAGCATAATCTAGGAGTTACCATTAGGAACCCAGACACCAGACTGCCTGGGGAGAACGTCCATGTTTACCACATACTGGTTGGACGACCTTAGGTAAATTAGTTAGTCTGTCTGGTCTATGTGAAAAAATGGAGATGATGATGACTATAAATGTATTAGCCAATTGGCCCCATGTGATTTTCACCACCTCGACCATATAGATAACATTTACTTGATCAATATTCTGATATATAAAGATGTATATCTTTAAAGATAATTATAAAATAGAAAACATACTGGCAGTGATATTGAAATTGTCTTTCTAATTGATTACCTAGGAAAGTTATCCACATATACAACATGTGTTTTTAACAGAGAAATGAAAGATTTGTCAGAAACCTATATTTAGGAAAACCACAAATTTATATGCAAATTTAAGAAATGTTTAAAATCAAAACTTAAATGAATTCATAATATCAAGTCATTCCATAATTTTCTGCTTTATACAGTAAAATATAAGTTCAAACCTACATTTTAAAATATATTCAGTCATTTAATCAGACATCTTGTGCTGTCACCATGATATATCATGTTTTAAAGGCAGAAAATGCTTCCAACTATCTCCCCTCTCCTTTACCCTCTCCAATTACTAGACTGCAGAAAGGCTTTCTCTTAGGAAACTGAAGCTTTCATGCACATCCTCTTCATAAATACCTTTTATTTAAATTAAATTTTTGAAGATTATTTCTTTCACCTAAGGTTATGTGATGATTGTTCTTCCATATACTTCAGTAATCTTCTGGAGCATGAATTTGAATAGTGTCATAAAGTGTCCAAAATTATTTAACAAATCTCCAGTTGCACAATACTTAGGTTTTTCATTTTTCTCTATTTTTAAATATTTATTAAACTGATATCCATTTATAACATGAATAAATAATGTACTAGTGGAAAATATCTTTAGAAAATGGAAAGACAGGGGTGGAGGGAGCAGGATGAGGACAGCAGCAGCGCCCTGGCCATGGGAGCAGAGGCTCCTCTGGGTGTTGTCACCTCACAGATCAGAGTTTTGTTTCATGATGTATTTGGTTTCTTTTACAGGACTTCCTTCGACTCCAGCTTGGTCAGTGTTATTACTGGATCGGGCTGTCATCTGATACAGGGCAAAATGGATGGAAATGGACGGAGAGCAGCGCGTCTCCTGGAATGTGAGTTTCTGGAGGGCATTGGGCTCTAAAGTCAGTGTGGGCTCGGGGAGGATTGGATCGAGATTGTAAAGCATCTTGTCTTGCTTCTCACAGCCAATCCCATCTTCAAACAGAAGTCTTTAGTACAGGAAGGATGAGTAATCGGTGTTTGAGGAAGCATAGTTTAAAAAGGAAGAGAAATGTCATGCAGTTATTAATGTTGACCCTATGCTTCAAGTGTTTCTGTGTATAGTTAGCATCTACTTGGTCATTTCTTCCTTTTTAGTCCATGTTTATCACACATTCGCTCTACTTAATGAACCTATACATAACAAGTTTTGTGAGTTCCTAGTTTTTCTTCCTATAGCAAATTACATGAAAAATATTTTCATTTTGAGTTCTTAGATGGGAGGCTGCTTCTTCACTTCTGCTTAACCCAGGGTCTGAGACAGTTCCCATGTGATTCATGCTGAAGATGTATCCCTTTCAGCCCTATGCTGTTTGGGTGGCTTCATTATTTTGAATCTGCACTGAGTGGACTCATTATTCAGCCTGCGATTTCCACCCAGGGGAAACTGGCATCAGTGTTTCATTTGCCTTGAAGTTTCCCACCATTCCTTAAGTGTCAGCTTGAGTAGGAATCTGTTTCTCACCAGTTTATGTATTCAAGAAGATTTAATTTTTTTCTTATTGAACATTTTCAATTGTCTTCAATAGGAACCGTGTTCTGGCACTTGATCCACCATTTGCCGGAAATAGAAGTCTTGTTTTGGATAGGGTATTCAATGGATTCACATCTTTTAACAAATACATAACTGCTACCTATGGGGCAGGACTAAAAACAAAACAAACAAAAGCATCAAGCAAGAGATCTCAGCTCTGGCTGTATTCTAATTCTCCCTTTTCTCTTTAAAATATAGGCATATGAGATCTGGTTATTTATATGGCAAAAATTTGTTTCTTCTTTTTAATCTCTTATTTTTATTTTAAAAAATGAGGAAAGTAGGCTTGGTGTATCATAATCATATAACAATATTGTTATTTTTGTCTGGTGATGATAAATTGCCAGTTTGTAATACAATGGGGATTGTAGGTGTGATCAAGAGGCCATGATTTTATTAATGGTCTAAAAGCAGAAGAAAATCATTAGTAATTTAGGGTTAATATTTTCATACTTTGTATATTTAAGCAATAGAATTTTTAAAAATCATTACTTGTGGGGCTAGAGATTTAGCTCAATGGTGCCACTGCCTGCCTCAAAAGCACAAGGTTCTGAGTTTGATATCTGGTACAAAAACAACAACAAAATCATTACTTGTGTCTTGGTAAACTTCAGAATTATACAGTGGCCCACATGTTTTCTGTTCTACAGTAATGCTAGAACAATGCTTCCATCTTCTTGGGAAGGAAAATGTGCCTTTTTAAGGGAAACGAGAATATCATATATTGCCTGCAGTAAGACCTACCACTGTATCTGTGAAAAGAGAATGGATGCTACTTTCCCTGCTTCAGTGTGCAGTGAGGAGGAAAGGTAAACATGGAATGTTGTCATTTTGGTTTTTTTCCTGTAACAATTCATTATTACTTACAAATGAATATTTTTGACTTTTGCTTTGTTTTAGTTTGTTATGGAAACAGGGAGAGCTGAGCCCGATAAGGAAGGAAATGTTCCTTTGGAACTTGACTTAGAGATCAGAAGCCATTGTTCTTCATGGAGAAGAGAGGAAGAGTTTGTCTTTGGTGAGCAATTACTGTTTTCTTTAATCACCTTGAGGAATTATTCTCTCTTTCTATTCCTGAACCACCCACAGGACCAATTAAAGAACCCTGAGAAACACTATGCATTTTTTCCTTATCCATAAAGTAATCCTTTTGATAATTGGTGGCTTCAATAGCACAGTTAAAAACTAGACTAGGAAGGCCTGGTGGTGCACACCTGTAATCAAGCATTCTGAGAAGCTGAGGTCAGAGGACTCCAAGTTTGAGCCCATGCTGGGCAATTTAGTGATACTGTTTCAAAGAGTGAGATGGGGATATAGCTCAGTACAAAGCCCTTATTTTCAATTCCTAGAACCAAAACCAAACAAACAAAAATCTAGGATATGATTGTATGAGTCTTGTTTTTCACTGGAACCTTACCTTGACTTTCAAAATTTTTTATATTTCTATAAAATGTAATTTCAACTTACTGACTAATTGCAAGCATGTGCAAGGAACTCCCATATATCCTTATCCATGGTTATCAGTTGTGTGTATTTTGCTGCAACGATCAAAGTTAGAAAATTTGGTGTTGATACAGCACTATAATTTAATCTATCACCCATGTTTTATCATCCCAGTGTTATCACTTGTAGATCTTTTCCTCCATGAGAAGAAACATACAGCCCATTTAGGTCCAGTGTACTTTTGTGTCATTTAGTCTGGAACGGTTCTTCAGTCCTTGGTTTTTCTTGACTTTGCCATTTTAAAACTAATAAGCTTTGTTGAGTTATACCATACATATAAGGAAGTGCATCCATGGAAGACATGAGAAATAGAGGGTTTAGCAAATTCAGACACCACTTATCCGCATCAAAATGCTGCACAGGCCATCTCCAAGACCCCTAGGAGCTCCTTCTCATCCCTCAGCACGCATCAGGCCACATGCAAGCAGTGACCAGTGTCCTTTCATTATAAACTAGCTGTGCCTATTGCTGATTTTCATGTGTCATGAACTCTTCTGTGTCTAGCTTTTTTGGTGAGCATGTTTTTGAAATTCACCCCTGCTTTCTCTTGTATCAATAATTCATTCTTTTGATACAAAATACTATCCCATTGTATAGGTATAATGTCATTCTATAAAATGGTTTACCTGTGAACATTTCATGTATTTCCAGTTTTTTGGCTGTTATTAGTAAAGTTTGCATTACTGGTAAGTGCTTGGCAGTGTCCATTCTTATTAAACCTTTTGCATTTCTAATTGCATTGATTGTGTCTTTCCTCTGCTTTTTGGGGTAATATTGTCTAAAGTTTTTTTTCTACTTTGTTTATTTTTGTTTATGTTAGTAAGTGCAAGGTCCTGAGTTGGATCCCCAGTACTGAAAAAACAACAACAATAAAAAACAAAAAACAAAACAAAACAAAAAATCCTAGCTCAAACTACACAATACCAGTTCTATGTTGAATTCTGAAGTCCCCTGGACCTTCTCCTTACCCTATTTGTGTGAGGCTATTACTAGTTCCTCCTGGTGGAAACACTTGTTGGCTATATTCATTACAATCCTGCTGACTTTATAATTTGGCCCATGAATTCTTAACTGTTTCTTTGGCTTTGTCTCCTCCAGACTCAAAGCTATATGCCTACCCAAGATGATAATGCCTGATGCCTGTCGAGGGCCTTCAGGTAGACCCTCTGTAGAGTACTTCTCACTGCTGATCACAACTCTTTAGCCAGAAGTAGCTAGAACAGTCTTCACCCTTTCCCCCCTCACAGCAGTTAGGGGTACTTCTTCAGATGGGGGAATATTGTAGATAGGTAAGTTAATTAGATATCTTGTAGGCAGTTAGTCAGGGCTAGCCCAAAAGGACCCAACATGGAGGACAGTCAAGACACATTCACTGAAGGCCAGAATTGTAAAAGGAGAGAAACTACCACACCCACATAGGATGAATAGCAGTGATTGATATTCTAAATAGGTATCCATCACCCAGATGAGGGACAAAGATCTTCCAAGAAAGATTCCTGACCAACCCCTTTCCACCAAAAATCCTTGCTCATTCCCTGTACACTTGCTATGTGACTTGTTTCCCTATTGGATCCCCATTTAATCAACATTACCTAAGCAACTATTCTTGTCATAATCTTATTGGTTGTTCATACTTTTGTCCACCTTGTGATTTCTCATTGGATCAATATTATTTAAGTGATGTCACTTGTAATCTTACTAGTTGGCTACAGTTTTGTCCCACCTTGAACCTGCCTTACCTCATGGCTTTATCTCATAAAACACCTTTGAGAAGTTAGGTGAGAGGGCAACCCACTTTCTGGTCCCCCTTCTATCTCTCTTAGACAGAAGCTATCTTTCTCTCAATAAATTTTCCTACTCTAAAAAACAAAAACAAAAGCAAAATCCTAGCTCTTTAATTCATTAATTACTTTAGTCTCAATTTCATTAATTTCTCCTCTGTTATTTATGATTTTATTGCTTGTACTAGCTTTGGGTTTGTATTGTTCTGTTTTTATAGAATTTTGAGGGGCATCATTAGGATATTTATTTGGGCACACGCTGCTTTTATGATGTGGGTATTCACAGTTAACTTTGCTCTTAGGATAGCTTTTATCGTGTCCCATAACTTCTGATATGTTGTGGTGACATTGTTGCTTATTTCTACAAACTGTCTAATTTCTTCCTTGATTTTTCCTATGACACACTGATTATTTAATAGGGTATCTTAAAATTTGCATGCACTTGAATAATTTTTGTGGTTTCTTTCACCATTTATTTCTACCTTTATTGAACTATGATCTGATAATATGGGTGTGATAATTTTGATTCTTTCACATTTACTTAAGAATGCTTCAAAGGTAGCATGTGCTCAATTTTAGAGAAAGTTCCTTGTGCTGCTGAGAAGAATGTGTTGTTGTGGGGTGGAACACTGTAGATATTTATTAAATCTATTTGTTCAAAGGTTTGGTTCACCTCTGATATTTGTTGTTGATTTTTGTATAGTTAGTCTGCCCTTTCTTTCTTACTTTTTTTTTACTGTAGGTGGTTGGGGATATCCAGTATAATTGTGTTCATGTTTATCTGATCTTATATGTTTCGTAGTGTTTGTTTTATGAGTTTGGGCATACTGGTATTTGGTGCACATAGGTTTATATTTGTTATCTCTTCCTGCTGAACTGTTCCCTTACCCAATATATAGTGACTGTTGCCTTTGCTGATCAGTTTTGGCTTGAAGTCCATTATGTCTGAAAATGGGACAGCTATTCAGGCTTTTTCTTGAATTTCCTCTCTTGGTTATTATTTCCATACTTTTAATCTGTAAATGTTTTTGGATTAAATGTGCTCCTCATCAAATAGACAAAAGAAAAAAGTAAAAGAAATAAGGGCAGGAAAGGAAAAAGTTAAATTATCATTATTTGTGGATGATATGATACTCTACATAGAAGACAGCAAAAACTCCACCAAAAGATTTCTAGATTTAATAACAAATTCAGTAGCTTAGCTGGATACAAAGTCAACACTCAAAAATCAATAACATTCCTATATGCAAATAACAAACTCACTGACAGAGAAATTAAGGAAACAACACCTTTCACAATAGCATCTAAAAAAGTGAAATATCTAGAAATCAACATAATGAAGGAAATAAAAGATCTTTCATTGAAAACTACAGAACTCTGGAAAAGGAGATCAAAGAGTGTTATGGCCTGTGTCCAGATGTCCCTCCCACAGTCTCATCCAGTCATAGGTGGGGCTTTTCAGAGGTGGCTGAATCTAGAGTGTGTGATTGATTCATGGCACAATGCTAGGATTAAGGGTGCTTGGAGAAAGGATGAGTGATTACAAAATCATTCCACTGAATGGTTTGGCACCACCTTAATCTCAGTAGCCTGGGCAGAAAAAGGCAAGAAGAAAAGGTAAGAAAAGGGTAAGGTAAGGAGGGGAAGCAGAATTGAAGGGAGTGGAGGGAATGGGGGTGGGGACAAAATCTATGAGAAAAATAAATGCAAGGCCAATAAATCTATTTTCTGTTACTGTAACAAAATATCTGAGTCTACTTAATATGTAAAAGAAATGGTTGTTTAATTGGCTTATGATTTTGGAGGATGAGAAGGTACCCCAACCTGGTCATCTTTTGTTGAGGTCCACATGCTGCTTCAGCACATATATACAGAAGAGAAGGGTCACATGGAGAGAAAAGAAGCGAGAGAGAGAGAGAGCCAAGAAAGCTGAACACATTTTATAAAACCTTGTTCAAATGGCAACAAATTCAACCTATTTAATCAGTCTGCCCACTCACTGTATGCACAATTTACCTACCTTTATAAAAAGCCTGAATATTTAATAATGCCCATAATTTTTAGTACATTTGTTTCTCTAGTGATCTTGGCTATAATTACACTTTAAATGTAACATAAAAACTTTAAAACTTTTCAGGGACATTCTAATTCTAAAATATGGTATATTGGCTATAGATATATAGACATGATTTTTGTCTGCTAAATGTTGCCCTCTATCCTTGAGTAATTTCTATTTGCATTCTGCATATTTATTCTTTGTTCAATATTAAAAATTTAAATTAATAATTTTTAGGCTTTCTTAATTTTAAAAGTTTATTTTTATTTCTTTCCCTTGACTTTTTGTCATAAAATATATTTTGTTCCATCATATTTGTACTTAGAAAGACAATTGATTTTTACATCTTAAGTTTCCAGCAAGTATTCATATGATAGTTTCTACTGCTTGAAATATTCAGGGAATATAATTTGTGAGTTTTTAAATTATTTAATTAATACATTTTGAAGTTATATTAATTTTGTCTTTTAATTCTGGCTTTATACCAATTTTTCTTGGTCAGTTAGCATCAGTGAAAAGCAGCAATATTAAGCAAGAGTAATAATAGTAAAAATATTTTCCTTTTTCTAACTATAATGAAAATTCCAGCATTTTACAGTAAGTATAGTGATGTTTTAATATGTATATCTTCTATGTATAAACATATATAAAGATTCTAT